GTAAAAATTTCACAGAGGTTACAGGCGACGTATTGAAACAGTGTGCTGGATGTAAAATAAAAGGAACGCAGCAGCGTTGAATGAAGCTCCGCGGCTTTTAGATGTGCATTTTAATGAACCCGACGACATCGTCGGACCAGCGACGTTATCAAGTGACAACAACTCCTCTGTAAGTACTCGCGTAGCCAATCGTCCTTCTTTCACCTTCCGGCGAATCGCGTGATTCCGTTGCGTGATTTCGATTTCCCTTGCACAGATATAACGCGTGCATGCGCGTGCCCGTTATTTGACTTGGCGAATGTCAATGCAAACGAATACATTTCGTTCGTTGTTGGCAAAGTGACCCACGATTGTTTCGGTGGACGCGCGTCGAAACTATACCACCCTTGTTTACTGGGTAGCTCCAAATTACAGGTACCATCGCAGTACGGTTGCCGAAAATCGCTTCATAATAGCTTTGTGCCCGTTTTACGCGTGGACGAAACCTTTTTCCAATGGAGGCGAGCGGAAGCGAGCCGGCTAATGAAAATATTTTTAAAAGCGTAACAATCTACAAATATCTTTATGTTTGGATAAACGCTGATTGCGACATAAATGCAGACAATCGCGTTTATTAATGCAACAAAGCAACAAGCAATAACCAATAACGAAAAGAAATTAAAGCGAGAGAGACTAGCTGGCCAAGTATTTGAAGCTTAATACGCGCAATGATGACAAACGTCCAAGTACAATTTCATGCAGGTATTATACGTCTTCTGATGCAATTATGAAGCGAAAAAATATCACCGATTCGCGGAGAACGAGCGAACCGTAGCAAAGTTGGAAGCGAGAATAATTCGAAACGAGAATAACGAGCTATTTCCCGGCAAAAACTCAAACAGCCATTCGTCAACTGTAAATTTTAACCGAACCTACGGAAATAAAAATATAGCTGCTCTACAGAGCGCCTATACAGACCGAATATTTATTGTAAAATACTTGCATTCCTCACTATGGTCAGACGAATTACGTCGGATTACAGTCATTCTTCCTACAAATCAAATAAACGGAAGCCGCTGAAAGATACCGTCGACGATACGAAACTTCCGAGAATTATTTATATAAACATTAACCATCCTTACACGACAAAATTAATGTCGATCCATCGTTTGAATATTTTACGATCGCTTATGACGCTTAATTCTGTTACTGATCAAAAGTCAAATTTCCTTCCCTAAGCATTCGCTGGAAAAACAAATTTCATAATACCGGGAACGTTGATCATCGGAACTGAAATTCCGAATAAAATCGTTTGGAGCTCGAGGCTGATGCACAATTCATCGGAGGCAATCCGCGTACATTGTCTCATTTTTCCCAAATGCTTTTATAAAATCGTAAAACCGCCCGGCTAGGGAAGAACGCGCGTGAACTGGAAACTTCTTCTCCTGAGCTTTCGTCCTTTCCACGTCCCTCTTTCGATTATACGAAGATATCGTATAACCGACCCTACAGTAATTCGAGCTGGCCGGGATCGAATGGAGGTATTAGATACCCCCCCCCCCCCCCCCCCCC